TCCCTGCTCAAGCAGGGTCGTCCTAGAGCCCATGGCACAGGATTGCATTCAGACGATTCTTGAATATCCCTATTGGGGGGGACTCCACAATGTCTCTGAGCATGTCTCTGAGCAGTCAGTTCCGTGCGCGGTCACGAGCACAGTAAAGAAGTTCTTCCTCATATTCGGGTGGAACTTCCTGTGCTTCAGTTTCTGCCCATTGCCTCTCGTCCTATTGCAGGGCACCCCCAAGAGTAGCTTGGGTCCCTCCTCTTGGCACCCACCCTTCGGATACTTGAATGCTCTGGCGACCCAGACGCTGTTCCCACCCAGGGGACACAACTTGCCTACCACCCTGTGCCTCCCCCGAGGGACGGCGGCGGGGCAGATGTTCCCTTGTTCCTGCTGAGGAGCCGGCGAAGGGCAGCGTGGGGAAGGCGGCAGGAAAAACGGCACCAGGAGGTACGCGGTGCTCCCCCGGGATGCCGTTATCCATTCAGTCTGTGTAAGCAATGGGAACTGCGATGGTGCAGGTTTGTCGTCGCCCATTTTCGGCAGGTTGGGAGCAGGTGGGGGGGGGAAAAGCTGTGACACAGCTTTTTTCCTCCTCAAAACATGGGGAAGAGTGCATTCCTATTACAAAATTAAAATATGTAAAAATGTGTTTTGTTTATAATTCTACTGAGACTACAGTTGAGAAAAATCTGTAGCTCTGCATCTTATTTATAGCACTCACCTGCCTTGGGAATCACGGAGCAGAGAAGAAAATCATAAGCACCTTGCCTACAAGTCAATAAAAATGTTCACAAAAAAAACCAACCCAAACCAGAATGTACTAAAAATGTACTAATATAGAGTGAGGCCCAGGTACTTAACTGTGGAAGAGCTGTGATGTACCACACACTCCTTCCATCAAAAATAAAAATATTTGGTCCAGCACACACCTCAAGAAAGAATGCAGAACTGGGAGTGCTGGGGGGAATTAAGGGAGTATCAAAACAGCAAGGGCAATTCTGAAGGCCTGCAGAAATGTAAACCAGCAGCAACAGCAGAGGAACAGCTTTTAGAAGAAATTTTACCGGGGAATTCTGTGCTGCCCAAGCTCTGTTTCATACTTTTTTTAACCTCATCGTGCCTTCCCAGCTCTCCTACCCGACTTAACTCCTCAATTTCTTAGTCCCATGTTCATAATCATCTAAAGGAGATAGCCATTTCCAAAAACCCCAGCCAAGGTGGAGTTACTTTCCAGATATTTCTTCTCATGAACTACACCTTTGGAACTCCAGACCCCTCCCCTCCTGCCCCACCCCTTGTAAATACAATTTTACCTGCATGGGATGACTCAGAATTACAGAGGATCCTTTCCAGAACGTGGAACATGTGGGTTTAGAAGTCACCTGCAAGAACCACCTCATCTTGCGTAAACTGCCCATGTGCAACATCTGATGACTAGCTTTAGGATGACACTGTTTCTACAATACAAATCTCAAGATAATCATCAATATAATCATCAAAATAAATAAATAAATAAAAAGTATCGTGGCCTGGATTTGTAGCTCTCTCCAGGAACCAAGCAGCATGGTAACTTCGAACTTTAGGGAGAGGAAGGAAGGGTATCATAATGCATTTCCATTATGGGAAGAGCAGGATTTACAAAGGGGTATAAACAGTGCCCTTTGGTAACAGACACTCATTAGTAACAATGCTGGCTTCTAAAGTGGTACTTGTGTGGGGAACTGACTAAACTCCCTCCTGTGCTGGACGCGTAGGAGCTGGGCAAAACTGAGACAAGTTTCTCTCTTTCTGATGCATGTAAATATATAAGGTAAGCTGTAATCGCAATATTCTCTTCCAAGTATGTGTCAAAGGCAGCTACACTACATTTGCTCTGTAAATTCAAGTGCTTCTTTATTTACTTATTTTACTTCCATTTTACTTATTTAGAACAATTTTCATATGGTGACATGCCTTTAATGAAACTCATGACTCAGAAATACTTGTCGATGTAGTCAAACAAAGTCTATTGACATGAGTCACTGAAATTAAATAAATGTCATTAAAAATGAGACAAAACAAAAGGCAAATATATATATATCTCCAGCAGAATGATAGTGATCATCACCTTATGATCAATCTTCCCTGTGAGTTATATCTGCAAGTTAATTTGAGGTAGCGCTAGAAAGAAGCTGTTGGTCCAAGAGCATCCCTGCAAAAAGAAACATTCACGGCTTAAGTACCATTTAACCTTTTTGTAGCCTTTTAAGTACTCTTCACGTTCCTTTTAGCCTGTTTTTCTCCCTGTTCACTAACTGCAGGATCAATAGCCCCTCAAACCATGGTACTAAAGCTTTTCTGTTCAGAGAAGTGATAGAAAACAAAAACATTACTCTTCTTCAAGAAATTAGCAGGTTTTAGGTAAAGGCACTATCTATCACAGCTAGGTACAATAAAGAGTTTATAAAACCAACACTAAATATCCTTCCAAAAAAAAACCTTCATTGGAATTTTTAAAAAAAAAAAAAACAACCCACAACATTTCAGCTAGGTAAAACAGACAAAACACAACTGGACAAAGTGAAATAGTGTGGTGTTGAAAACACTGCTTCCAATATTTTTTTTAAAATGTTTCTACTGCAAACAGATCTTTGTAGAACTGGTATCAGGCATCTGTATTATGTACACATTCAGGTCCTTGTGTAAGCTAGCTAATGCAGGCAGTACCAGAGCTGTAAGTTTCCTCACTTAAAAGTCTCAGCAGTGCACTCCAGCAGTTCCAATGTGCTCACTTTTTCCTGAATTTGGGCTTACACCCATGCAGAAAGAAGTTTTTTCAGTACGCCTTTACAGTAAAGAACGTGCTCTACACGTGCTTGATCCCATATACGCACTCCTAACTGGAAAGCAGGATAGGCTAGTAAAGCTTGGGAGACAGAAAAAGTCAGAGAGCTACTTTAGAACAGGTATCACATGGGCTGCAACCAGCAGACTCCCTTCCTCACCTCTCTCTTCTTGTATGTTGACTGGAAGAAAATATATTCCCCAACATTTCTCAAGTGTGCAAAACTAATGGCCCAAACAACCTCTGTCAGTACATTTCATAATATTTTCCCTATATGGATACTTTAACATGCCAGAACAGAAGGTGCATGCATATCTGAAAACAGTCTCTAATGCAAAGCATAAAGACCTTGTTAACATGTAAAATCTGCATAAATGTGGTGGCTGCAGACTGACTTTGAGGTTTATATGCTGCTACATGAAATCACACCGCTACATGGGCCCCTCATTACATAGTTCACACACAGCTCAACCTCCCAAATACTAAAAATCAGCAGATACTCCACAGTAGTTCTGCCCAGCCAACATACATCTTTAGCATCACATTTTTAACCGGAAACACAACAAAAGGTTTCCACAAATTACTTGCTGCAACTTCAGTATGGTGTTTATGTAATGCTATGCAAAGCAGGATATGCACTTCAAAGCAGGATATAACCCAGGCACAGCCCCGGAAGCTGTCTTGTTGCTTGTGATGACAGTGCTTGCTAGATATGAAATCCTTTGCTTTGCAACATCTTTTTAGTATAACCAAGCTCAAGTACCACAGCTATGCACTACAACTGAAGTGGCATCAAATCCAGTGTAGTTGTGAAGCTTTAACTATCCAAATTCAAGGGGCCTGCATCTACTATCTTAAGTCCCCCCCCTGCTTCTGCAGTCCCCTGAAACAAATCTACATATGCACACAAACAAGTACTCCCTTTCCCATCCAGATTCTCTTTGCTTCATTTATTCCACTTTCTGTCACATTCCCATCAATAATCTCCCTACTATCATCCTCCAAGAACTGACCAGGTTCACACAAGAGAAGCCTTCACCTAAGAAAGCCCACTTTACAGCCACAACATAACTAGTTCTCTTCAAACCAGGGAAACAGTTGCTAAAACTGTGATAGTACACTCCCTGTCTAAATGATTTTTTTTGTTTTCTCTCTATGAACTTCCTATAGCACTCTAAAACCCTTTTCTAGTTTAGAGCATTTGCATTTCATGGACGGAACTTTGAAAAAGAAATTTAGCTGGAATTTAACTGTGAAGAGAAAATATGGAGATTCTGGTGAGCAGCTAGAAGGGACTTCCTGTGCCAAGTCATCACTCTGCAATGCAGAATTAGTTTCACATTTAAGAACAGCATAGAGGTTGTGACCACTTTAATGTAATTAAGTCATTTAAAAAAAAAAAAAACCAGAGGACTTCATTCCTATCTGCCATTCCAGCAATTCTGGTTTAGATTGCTCTCAAAACACACATGGCAGTACCCTAAAGGAGGTATCATTACCTACTTGACCACCTTTAGTAGCTTTCATGGCTATTAGCTATCTGATGATTTCCACCTTTTTCTCTTCAAAGAGTACTCTTCTGTTTTCAGCCTAAATTTATTTTATTGCATACATTAAGCAGTAAATACTTTTGCATACACAGGAGCTTAAGTTGTCCCTATGGCTGGAAAACACTTTATACCCTTCCAGATAGTAAGTTTAGAGGAAGCCACTCAGAAGTTGCTATCTTAAAGCAGCACATTCTTCATTGCCATCTCCCCTAATCTCCTTTGAATACTGGACACTGTCATCCTACTAAGATTTATAACCTCATCACTGTGAAACCTCCGAGCGTGAAGACTGAACAAGTAACAGATGTTTAGGATAGGATGCAACTTAGTTGAAGAGCTGTTACTAGCTAGGATATTATAATTCCTGATGGGTTATTCTTTCTCCTTTAAACCAAAGTCTTCTCCAAGGATTTTCAGGTTTAAGAACACATGTTATGTTACACCAGTTTCTTTGCTGTACAGCATCAGTTAAGACTAACAAGAATGGCAGAAACAGAATTATCAGTAGGTATCATCCTTAGTCTTTGGAATGTTTGCAGCTATGGTAGCTGAAAGTTTGCCCTTCTGTATGTTAAAACTGTACAGATAAAGTGTGTTAAGAGCTTGTAAAAGATTGCCTAGGTAACTTAGAAGTATGTGAGAGCTAGTTCTTGCTAGTCCTGCTGCCCATACCAAAGACAGGTGAAATACTCCTACTGCCTCCAGCTAAATTCAACAAGCCAGAAGAGAATGTGTTTCACACATGTAAGTAAAATCCCTTGCTGGCAGGTTTGCAGAAACAAAATTTTATTTACACAGGCAAGTCTATCTTTAGACCCCATTGAACTCTTTACATTTCTAGAATATTTACATGATTTCAAGATGCTCCAAGTGATGAACAAACAAACAAAAAAAAAGATTACAGAAACTGTCAAAAGCATAGCAAAAAAAACCCCAATCTATCATTGTGCTTTAAAACTTATGATCTAGAGTAATGTAGAAGAAATGTAGTTTTAGCACCTTGGTCATAACGGTCATGCTATATAAGACACTTAAATAGCAGAGGGGATGTCAGAAGTGACCGTATCCAGAGGTTGCCAGTGACAATTCATGAGGGCATCATAGAGTTCTTCACTTGTCTCCATGAATTGTCTGTTCATTTCATCAACATCCAAGTACAGCTGTGGATCTGAAAATAAAAGCCTGGTAAGTGCAAGTGTCAGATCTTGGAAAGGCTGCACACAAAAACCTGAAGTAAATGCCTCATAAAATGTATTTTAGCCAAATTTAATATACTTAATAGTAAATGTAATAAGATGTTTATTCACCTAGAATTTCAACAAACCTGACAAATCCAGCTTCCTTTGGAATATGTATTATTAGAATGCTGGGACCATATTGCTATTTCAATATAAAGTGCATATTTAAGGATAATTAAGCCTGATAATCTACCAAAATCCATTTAAATAATTTCTACCACAATACATATTAGGCAGGATAAAATTTCTGAATGCTAACACAAGATGTCTCTCTGTGAGGAACTGTCTACAAATCTTCCAGGCCAAACAAAGATCTTCTACAGAACTTAAGTGCAAGTTGAATCCTCCATTTAAGATCTGCAACATAAGCTTTTATCTCAGGTTTTGGAAAACCAAGCTTTTGCCTATCAATGAGTTTAACATACAATGATTTTAGCAGAATTTATACAAAGATATGGTAAATCCTCTAATAGGTCATTTTGGAAGGAGAATGAAGGCAAAAGTTAAAGACACCTACTGTGAATTATCGTTGACAGTGTCCCATTCTACTTGACATGGTGTACACTACTTGCTTTAAAATCCTACCTCCTCTAAGCTATAACCCATAGAGGATCCTACTACATCAGCTGAAATTCAAAAACGTTCTTCATCCAATAGCCATTGGTTTGTATTGTTAAAGGGCAGAAGCATGGCTAAATTTAATTTGCAGTGATAGAATTATCATTACCTTCAGTTATTAGGTCATCATTGATTTCAGTCATAGCTGAAGCTTCCTAAAAAAAAAGAAAAAAAAGAGAAAGTTTATTCAATCCATTTCAGAAAGCATCACAAACCCAAAATAATTCTGTACTTCCAAAGCATTTCCTCCTCCCACAACTACAGAATAAGCAGGAGGAGGTGGTGTTTGTTGGGGAGGGTCTTTTTGCTGGGTGTTTGTTGTTGTTTTTTAGTGGTTTGGGGGGTTTTGTTGGTTTGTTTAGGTTTGGGGTTGTTTGTTTCTTTGTTTAGAAAACCATGGTATAAGTTCAGCTTGGAAAGGACTTTTGGAAGTTGCAACTGATAAACTAATTCAGATAAGATCATGTTACAGTAATTCTTTAATTTTCTTCAAGAAAAGTATATCAAAAATAGGATGAAAGCCTACACAATTATGCTTCAAAACTGTTATCTGGCATACATGAACAAACAGTGGTGTATAAATATCTAATTCTATAGATGCACTACTGAAACACTTAAATCAAATATAGCTCTCAATGATGTCTGCTAATACAACCTGCACACAAAGCTGAACATGATTTAATTTTTAGGACTTTTTTTGCTCTGACTTACACAATTCATACAACTTGTTATTTGTGATTTTTTAATCAAGTGTGTAGTATCTTTACCTCAAATACAGCTGGAGCCATAACAGCATCTCCTAAAGAGCATTCTCCAACAGCTTGCATGTTATCATAGGGAGTATAGGAGCTGTAGTTGTAGTCAGCATAAGGATCATAATTCCACTGTGAGTAGTAGTTCTGATAATCTTGGTAATAATCGTTATAGTTGTATGACTGGTACCGCTGGAATTCTGCTTTCAGTCTGAAACATGAGAAGTTATAAACAGTTAGAGTTTGAGAACAACAAACTGTAAACCCACTGCTGAAGTTAAACAATTTGCCATAATTTACAGGCTTCCAAGTTTAAAAGGAAGCTTTTCTAAATAGTTGCCTAAGCAACAGTTTTAAGTCACAGCACAGTGTCTCATGTTTACACAGAAGCAAATACTCTCACCTTTACCAGTGCCAAAAGTAATTATTTCCATGGATTAACTCAATTACATTTATCTGTAATCAGTTTGAGTACTTTTAGTATCCATTTAAGCAAGCTGCTGCTAAAAAATCATTTATTAAGACCACAAACCTTTATCAAGTACCACTGCTTTAAAGACACTTTTAAAGATACTTTAAAGATTTAAAGTCTTAATTAGTCCTTCTATCTTTTGTTTGGTTAATACTAAATCATGTTATTTCCAGAAACAAGAGGTGAAGTCAGATTATCTGTTTCAGAGGAGTATCTGACACTGCCTGCCAATTTACCATGCCTACCTTTCACCTACTCAATTTTTAGTCCATGGGCAGTTGACAAAGCATAGCTGCCAGGCTAAGTCAGCACTGCCATTATCCAGAATGAAGCTGCAGCAGCAGGAATATGACAAAACTCATTGGTTCTTAAGACCAAAGGGCCAGGCAGTAAGTTTTCACTACTTTCCCTTTCCTAAGCAGATTTTTCCTCAGGGACAACTTCACACACTAACAAGTATCACTGCACAAGTACTGTCTGTACTAACACAGATACACTACATAAAAAACATTCAGATAAACCAGCTGCACACTCCAAGAAATCCCCTATGCTTAGACATTTCTTCACTGATTAAGTGCAAGCAAAACTCCTGTTCACAGAGTCCAATTTCTCTGTATCTCCACTTCGCTACAGAAAATTCAGATCAAGGTTTTTTTGCCAAGAACACAAACTGAAGGAGCTCAGAAATAGAGTTTCCAATGTGACTTAGTGATGAACTACTCTGATGGCTAGATATTTTGATGCTAGGAGAGCTCAGTACTCAGCCATTTAGAAACAGGTATAGATTAGCCATGTGTATTTTAATACCCACATTTTTTTCATTACTGTGAAGCTACACATACATTCTAATAAATAGGTATTCTACTGTGTTACTACTGTGGTAAACAAATGATTACATAATGTCTCAAAGTCTTCTGCTTTCAACTTCTCTCCTACATCCATCTCAGTAGGAAAGAAAAATCTGAAAATGCTGCTAATGTTTATCTGGATAGCATATGTGAGAAAACCTGTTTCTTTGGGACCTCTTCTTATTTTCAAAGCAATTTAATCAATGCAATTCTGGACAATGCTCTCTTGGACAAGAGCATTTCTGTTCCAAAGCAACAAGGCAACATTAGCAGAATTATCCAGGGTAAAAAGAAACAGAAGCTGTTATTTTTAGTCTTCCAACAGCACACACACACTAACCTCCTGAATATATACTGAAATTGTTTTATATGAAGTTCTATATATTTGTCTGTATTCTGGGTCAAAGTTTATCAAATTTGGTATTAAGACTAACTGAATTGTCTTAAATAACTGAGAGAACTGTGCTGGCAGAATAAAAAACCCTCTCAAAACCAATCAACTTTAGAATTTCCTACTGCTCTGATTACTTGAAAAGTAAAGAACAGTATCCTAAATAAATTGTTCAAGCAACATCTCCTTTGGCTTCTTCCCCTCTATATTCTATACTTTTCCACTAAGGAGTTCCTTCCTTTGCCAGCCTACTTTAAAACTAGCAACATACTAGCTTGCCTAAACTAGGGGGAAACATCTAAAAGAAAAGCTTCCTAGCATAAAAACCAAACACTTGTTGTCCCTTCTACCTTCTTCAGACCCAAACCTGAAAAACATTTACAAATGCATTCAGCTTCACTAGTGTAAGAATTAAGGCCGGTTACAACAGCTAAGCCCAAGTTATACAATCTGGCTAGACTTAGGAGTTGGATTCCCCCAGAAATACTGAAAGAGGTTGATGAATCCAGGTAGTCCAAAACATAATGCTTCTGTGATTTTGGTTTTGTAGACTGCATCGTGTGTACAGCCATTATAGCATGGGCCACAGTCTTTACAAAGGCAGAGCTAAAAGAATCCGATTATTCAGAATTACTGTATCAATGCACAACTCATTTGTTACCTTTTAGAAATTCCTATGCTCAGCCGGATTCGTTTTCCCCCCAGACCTGGTGCATTCTGGCAGTCTTGCAGTGCCCTCATCTGATCACCTTGCTCACCAAATCTGACAAAGGCATACCCTCTACAATTTTCAAAAGGGAGAAAACAAATTCTAGTATTCATAACAGTTACAAAGCTAATGAATGCAATTTCTGTCTTCATGAAAACAGAAAATAGTAGCTACTATAGCTTTTATTACCTAAGCAACCTCTCTGGCATGTGCACATGCACACAAGATGCTTTTACAAAATTAAAAACTTGGGCCAGAAGCAAAAAGCTTGTTGACAGCATTAAGATGTACCTTGCTGAAAGCCAGCAAAACAATAAGTTTTAAATAGTTAAGTAACCAGATTCCATATTTCTGCACTTACAGCAGGTCATTTATCTCTTAGTATTAAAACCACTCCTACTGCTGTACAGGTCTAACATTCTTTTTAAATTAGCTTTCTCAGATTTCCTTTTTTCTTTTTTTCAAGTTGTTTTGAATTAGTCCATTACAGCCAGAGTCGTCTGAACAGCAAACTTGCTCATCCCTGCTTGACTCACTGTCTGGCCAGTGTAACTTCCACCAAGCTTTATTTACTAATATTGGAAGTTTGGTCTCCCAACCCTCTAAGATTTGCCAGGCCTTACAGTTTTCTTTACATGTAAAAAGGGAATTAGCTTGTCTTCAGTACTGCAGATGACTAAGTGGACACACTGCTGCAGAGAGGCACAGCAGCACACATGTCCATGCAGAGGTCCCCCTTCTCCCACTGTCCAGCTTCATGTAGATATTCATATGGCTGAATAGAGACTTATCACATTAACTGCTTAAACTAACCATAAAGTTTAAGAAATATATGGATCTATGCTGTTAAAAAAAATAATGCCAAAGGCTAATCTCTCTCTTCCTGCCTCCAAAGAAAGTGGAGAAACAGTTCTGATGCAGGTTCTTATATATTACTTATAGAAGCAAACATAGTGGACACTATTTAAACATTTTCAGGTGTTACCTGGAATATCCCAGCAGGTCTGTTGCTATTTTGCAGTCAATACATGAGGGGTACCTCTTTAGGAAATAGTCATAAAGCTGGAAATCATCCACTTCTGGAGTAAGCTCCCCAACAAATATTGAATAATCTGGTCTTTAAAAAGGCAAAAGAGAACCACAGTCAAGTTTGAGACTAACACAGCTCACTGCAGTATTAAAGTACCCAACATACAAGCAGGCAGTTATCACTGAACAAGTACAGAGACAAAAATAAAAACAGACTGCAAAACTCAGCTGAGCAATGTACAGAACTGCAATGCCATCACTCCAGCAAGAAATTCTTTATTTCCCTGGGTCCATTCTACCACTTTTGCAAGAGAAAGCATTTTAACAAAGACCCATATTTATTAAAAAAAACTTTTTAGAAGTGGGTTTTAAAAAGTAATATTTGCTGTCTGAAGGGCAGGGCACCCAAAACCACCACCCAAAAACTATGAAGTTACAGCCATGATTCAAAAGAGCTATGACTATTTTGCCACCACTTTAAGTGATTATGAGACAAACTAGAAAAAAATCCTGAATATTCTACTGGCAATACAATTCCATAAGCAATACTTATAGTATAGGCACTAGGTGTGCCATTTCAGGATTTTAAAAATAAGTGATGGCATTCACAAGTCATCATCAATTTACATAGGTAAAGCTTCTCCATTCTAAAGGTCTTTACCTGGTCGTATTAGTACTACTAGGGACAAACTCTATTCTTCCTGGTTTTATTTTGTTCTTTTTCTTCCGTTTCTTCTGTGGTGTTCTCCACCAGCTGTATGCCTGGAGACATTCTCTTTTTTTCGCCATCAAGTCCTGCAGGGAGAAAAAAAATCACCTTTATAGTTTTTAGCCTCATTTACATTCCTCCCTCCCACTCCCCATCACCACAGGTGATTTCCCCATATTCACCTTGCCCTTGAAAGAAGCCTGGGGTCCCATTTCTCCCTCCGCCTCCCATGAGGGAAAGCAGCCTCTGGGGAAAACGCCTGGCAAAAATAACAGAGCCAAAGGATTGTATGAACAGCCATATTCCCCTGACTTGTCAAGCTGGCTAAAGGATTGACAGCTTCCTCTGGGAATTAGGGAAAAAGCAGATAGCCCTTTGATGCTGGCCAATCCCAAATGTTAATTAGCTTCAGGACTGGACTGTGTTCCGCTTGAGCTCCAGGACGCAAAAAATCCTGCCGCAGCACAGTCTGAGTGATGAGGAGGCAGGGAAATCGTCACTCTTCCAAAGGGGATCTCCGCTGTCCCTATCTTCCCCTCACCTAGGAATTCTTCTTCTGTGAGATGCCTCTCCTTACTACCCAGCAGTGAGTCACTCTCCCAGGCCAGGAACAACGACAAGAGGCCAATGAATGGAATGTAAGGAGAAAGCAGACCAGGAACAGGCACCAGCTTGGCTGAGGGAAAACGTGAACCCAGACGCAAGGCCAGGAAGGAAGAGGCATAAAAAAGTGCCTCTTCCCAAAAAAAAAACCAAAAAAAAAAGGAAAAAAAAAAAAGAAAAAAAGAAAAAACTAAAACCCCAAAAACCACAGTTCAAAAAGGAAGTGAGTGGGGTAACTGCACAAAAAAAAGGAGAGGAAACAGCCATATTAAGACAGGTTGCCTCCCTCTCAAGATTCTGAAGAACAAGGACTTCCAAAAATGAGAATGATGTTCCACAGCTTTTACTTACGCAGGCTTTATCGTTCTTCCTCTATAACACCTCTACACGTGTCTTATATAGAGAGTGTTACCACGCAAGGTCCTTCAGAAGAACTCACGCTCAAATAATCCAAACTGCGAAACTTAATGTTATGCCCCCAATCTGCTTCAGTTGACACAATTAAGTGTCCAGAGGACAGCCACCAATTACCACGTTGCCGGAAGAAATCACAGGACTAAAAGAACACCCAACTCAGAGCAAGCTAGCTATTTCAGCTTTACATTTACTAGGAATTCTGAGTATGGTTCTGGAATCCATTTAGGCACTGCAAGCCTGTATTTCTGACCACATGATCTTACCTGGCTTGCCATGGTTCAAACTGTCTTCTGTCTTTCTCAAACAGTATGGCTGCACAGATTCGGTTCACTCCTTCAGCTGGAAAAACAACAGGGGATGAAAAAGATGAAGAATTTTATCCCTGAGATTAATTACTTCCAAATATGTTCACCCTTCTGCATCCTTTGAATGATATTAAGTCAGAACTTAATTTTTTAAGTTCTGACTTGTCACTGCTAAAGCAATGAGTGTGAAAAGGATATATGGCCAATGGGATTATGATTAGAAGTAATCTTCACTGTCTTAAACTGCAATAGACCACAAAGCCTTCCCACTGTCCAAAGCACTAGAAAGTTACAGAGAACTTTTAAGTCACCTATACCTTACCCTTAATTCTGAAATACCTACACACAATAACCTAGTAATTCAGAAGATTCTAACATAGTTAAAACAAGGCAAGAAGATACAAGGCTTCAGTACATTTGTAAAAGTCCCCAGGGTTTCTTCCCCTTTTAGCCAAATTAAGAGTTGATTTACTTGTACCATAAACTACACAGCTGAAGACAAGCAGTGATACCTCCTGTGCACTAAATAATAGAAATAAAAGTGGGATGAGGGCACAGTACAGATAAACGTGATCTTTCTCTGCACCTTTTCTTAGGACTGTTTTCTCTCTTTTGCCTTTTTCATTTACACATTTCACTCACTACCAGCAAGTTAGCCAATAAATGACCTTTTACTGCTACCATTACACTGCTTTTTCCCCCTAGTCATCTAACAAAAATAAATCAGTGCAAAACCAAGCTTCATTTGTAAAATATTCTACATTTACTTCCACACACAGCTGTTTATTCACCACTGCTGATTTTTTTTTATATCCAGTGTTGCTCCTTCTATGCAGATGCTTGATTGCTGAAGTTCTAATTTCTATTTCCATGCAAGAATTTATGCAATGTTTTACATCCTAGCTGATCAAATCCACATTCACATAATGCAATAAACAGGGAGTGCCCATAATGCCTTAAAGGCTTGCCCACAGAGGGGACCAGCTCAGAGCACTGCTTCTGAAAGTGGATTAGGCTAACCTGACACAGGATAGCCATAAACCATAATTAGACCATCCATGCATGGTGCTATTCAAAATAACTATGGACTTTATCCCCACAGCCATTCTGGAGGCAATGAAACTGTCAAGTACAAACAAGCCCTTAAAATACAGTCTAGTCCCAATAAGGTTAGCATATGGTAAATTGAGAATACATTTACTAAAAGTAACTGTGTTCATTATAATTATCAGCAGCAACGTCTTTCTGTTAAAGATGGTCATTATTAATACAAATTTCCACAGAACAGTGTTCCTCTAACTGAAACAGTACTTTCTATTAAGAGGAACTATGAACTTCTCCACAATCTAACACTGAAATAACTAATTTTCAAATTCTCGGCTGCACAGTAACTTCTTTTAAACTTACTGCTTCTCACTCATGCAGATCTGGCAGAAGACGGGCACACAAGATAAAGCAGTCTGGTTGTAAAAGGCTGTCAGGAGGCAAGTGATGCAACTGCTTCTCACCAACTTTTAAGCAACACTGTGTTTGTCCTCTTCCTCGTCCAAGCTTGACTGCCACCTCTTGATCTTTTCACTATGAAATAAAAACATTTTAAAAGCAGTTAAAACAGCATGTATAAACACTTTATTTTTTTTTTAACGTTTGTCTTAACTGTAGCCTGCTTTCATTTAGGCAGTTGGGCAGCTTCGACCTGCAGAACCCAAACAGATTCTCAACCGGATTACACACACATCATAGCAGTTTTTTATTGTATTCCAAAGGTTCTTCTCATTATTGCGTTTGTACATGCAAAAAAAGCGGGAGAAGCTATCGACGGGCAGTACCGGTGCGAACGCCGCTCACCGGGGCAGCGGCCAAGCCGCCCCCTTCCTACGGCACTAATTTCGCTCACACGAGGCGCTGGGTCAGGGCAAGGGGATGGGTGGAAGCTCCCGTAGCCCCTGGGGCCGGCGCCGTGACCCCGGCCGGGCCCAGGCCCGAGCCGTGACGCATTTCTCTAACCGAGCCACTCGGCACGACGGGAAGAGCCCGACCACAAGTGCGCCCCGCCCGGCCGCGGCCCTCCGCAAGCGGCCACACTGGCGCCGCGGCCGCGCTTCCCGCTCATTGTGCTACGCGGTAAGAAATCGAATTGGAAAAAAAAAAAAAACAAAAAAAACAAAAAAACACAAGCGTAAAACCACCCGACGATACAAAAATAAAAGCCAGCGGGCCTAGCACTAGGAAGGCGTTGGGGGAGCCGGTTCTCTGGTGCCTCGGCCCAAGCGCCGCCGGGGCCTCCTCGCCCCACACGCCCTGAGGGAGGAGGAGGCGGCGGCCCTGCGGCCCCGGGGGAAGTGAAAGGTCCGACCGCCCCTCCCCTCCTCCTTCGGTCCCAGTAGATCGCTTCGCGCCCCTTTTCCTCCCCACCAGCCCCCGGTGCCGGTCACCGCTCCCCCCGCCTCCCCTCCCGATCCCGGCACTAACGCCTCTCGTCCTCCCCGCCGCCATCACCGCCCGCGCCAGCGCCGCTTCCGCCCCGCGAGGCCCCCCTCCCCCCCCCGCGCGGGCTGCCCCGCGCGCAGCCTGAGCCCGCGCCCTTCCCCGCGGCGCTTCCCGCTCCGCGGCGGCTCCCGCGGGATTCTCCTCCTCACCCGAGGGGAGCGAGCGCCGCCGGGGACGCCGCACGCGGAGCCAGCGCGGAGCGGCGCAGGCAGCGCGGCGGGCGGGCGGAAGAGCCAGCAGGAACCCCGGGGCGGCGCTGAGCGGCGGCGGATGGAGCTGGTGGCGGGGTGCTACGAGCAGGTGCTGCTGGGGTTCGCCACGCGGCCCGGGCAGGTAAACGGGGGAAATGGGGAAGGGGGGTGGGGGGAGAGAGAGAGAGAGAGAGAGGAGGATGGCGCATGGAATCACAGAATGGCTTGCGCTGGAAGGGACCGTCAAGTTCCAAACCCCCCCTGCCATGCGCCGGGACACCTTCCACGGAGACCAGGTTGCTCAGAGCCCCGTCCAGCCTGGCCTGGAACACCTCCAGAGAAATAAAGGGAAGAACGGGGGGGGGATATATGGGGGAATGGGGAGAAATGGCCGCGCACGCCCGTCCGCCCCCCAGAGCGCTCCCCAGCACTCACCGCCTCGCCCGTCCGCAGCCGCGGTTCTGGGCGCCGCCGGGGCTCTTAAAGCGCGCTGCGGGGGCGGGGCGGCCTGTCCCGCGGCCTCTCCCGCCAGGCTCGGCCCCCTCGCTGCCCCTCAGGGTTGCCAGGAGCTGCGTGAAGCCTCCCCCGGGCTGCGGGAAGCCGCGTGGGTGACGGGGGCTGCGGTGCGGGGCCGCTTCTCTCTGCGCGGGGGTGAGGAGGAAGAGCTGCGCAGGGGATGGATGGGACGTGGTCTGGGGGCTGGTGCCAGGTGGAAGGCGTGTCTCCAGCCTGCCGTGATGGAAAACGAGAGGATCCGCCTCCCTCGGCCATGAGATTTGTCTCTGCCGACGCTTTTTCACCGGCAGCTTCGTCTAAGCACGGCACTGATTGCAAGGGGCGGCTTGCACGCTTAAGTCCTTTAGACTAATCTCCTAACAGCACATTAACTCAATAAGATCCCATTATGCTTATGTGTAATTCCTCCCCCTGTACTTGGCACTGGTGTACGAGTACACAGCCACACCTCGAGTACTGTGTCCAGTTCTGGGCCCCTCAGTTCAGGAAATACACTGAGGTGCTGGAGCAAGTCCACAGATGGGCAAGGAGCTGGTGAAGGGTCCAGAGCACAGGTCTGCTCATGAGTAGCTGAGGGAGCTGGGATTGTTTAGCCTGGAGAAAAGGAGGCTCGGGAGTGACGTTATAACTCTCTACAACTACCTGAAAGGAGGTTGTAGCCAGATGGGGTCTGTCTTCTACTCCCAGGCAGCTAGCAGCAGGATGAGAGGACACAGTCTTAAGCTGCACTAGGGGAAGTTTAGGTTGGACATCAGGAAGAATTTCTTCACAGGAAGGGTTATTAGATGTTGGAATGGACTGCCAAGGAGGTGGTAGAGTCACCATCCCTGGAGGTGTTTAAAGAAAGACTGGACGTGGCACTTAGTGCCATAGTCTGTTGGTCATAGGTTGGGATCGATGGTCTCAGTGGTGTTTTCCAACCTAATCGATTCTCTGATTCTGATTTTTACACATATACTTTTTCAGGTTTTTCTTTTACAAAATAAAATTACAGGATGATGAAGTGGAAGCTTATGATGGTAAGCTTCATAAATACCTGTTTGTTTTGCATTTCATTTACAGTCCTGGACAATCGTCCCTGATTTTACACATCATGCCCACTCTGCCTCGTTGTCAGCAGTAGCAGTGAATAACAGATATGTGGTCACTGGGAGCAGAGATGAGACAATCCAAATCTATGACATGAAAAAGAAGATAGAGCATGGGGCGCTGATACAGCACAATGGTAAGGGAGCATTTCTTTGTAAAAAGCATTAATGGTATAAAATTGTAGCTGAAAAGCCAGTCCTCACCAGAAGAAGAAAACTGATTTTTTTTTTAATAAGACTCTAATAGTGGTGATGCTGCAGCCATGATGGTGTGATGATACAAACAAGGTAAACTTTTGAGCATAAAAGTAAAAAAATTATTTTGGATATTAGTGCTGCCACAAATATCAACTGGTTTTAGTTTTAGCTGTTTAAAAAGTTATGACCCACAAATGGCTCGTGCCATTTTTCTTCTATCAGGAAAGTTACATATGTGAGAGCAGGCTGCTGCTGCCAGATGAGTTAATGTGGTACATTTCCCACTGTCTGTGCTGGCTGAATTACAGCTGTAAAAGTACATCATAAAGTCATGGAATAGTTTGGATTGGAAGGTACCTTTTAAAGGTCATCTAGTACAACCCCCTTGCATTGAGCAGGGACATCTTCAACCAGATCCGGTCACTCAGAGCCCCGACCAACTTGGCCTTGAAGGTTTCCAGGGCTGGAGCATGGATCATCTCTCTGGGCAAACTGTTTCAGTATAACACTGCCCTCCTTGTAAAAACACTTTTTCATTATATCTAATCTGAACTGACCCTCTTCAATTTAAAACTGTTAATCCTTGTCCTGTCACAACAGGCCCTGCTAAAAAGTTTGTCCCTGTTTTTCTTACAAGTCCCCTTCAAGTGCTGGAAGGCCTAAATAAGGTCTTCCTGCAGCCTTCTCTTCTCCCAGCAGAACAATCCCATTCTCTCAGCCTTTCCTTGCGGGAGAGGTGTTCCATCTCTCTAGTCATCTTCATGGCCCTCCTCTGGACTTGCTTGTTGGGATCCCAGAGCTGAATGCAACACTTCAGGTGGGGTCTCACCCGAGCAGAGTAGAGGGACAGAATCCCCTCCCTCAACCTGCTGGCCATGCTGCTTTGATGCAGCCCAGGATACAATTGGTTTTCTGGGTTGGAAGCGCACAGTGCTGGCTCATGCCCTGCCTCTCATCCACCAGCACACCCAAGTATCTCTCGGAAGGGCTGCTCTATGATCTGTTCATCCCCCAGCTTGTGTTGATACCAGGGCTTTCCCTGTGCTTCGTTGAATCTCATGAGGTTCCCATGGGCCCACTTATTGAGCTTGTCCAGGTTCCTCTGGATGGCATTCCATCTGCAAACTTGCTGAAGGTGCACCCTTTGTCTGCATAATTGGTACAGTCACCAGTTAATGGCTGTCCAAATAAACCTGTTTGGGTCATTTGTAGCTCAGTCCTGATGAGCTAAGAAGAACCTGGAGTTCGACTCAGCACAGTACCTGCATTTAACTCCTGTATGATGAACCTGGTGCTTTTGGGACACAGTATGTGCAGTAGATTCAGCTGTGTGTCAGTAGCAGCAGGGCTTTGACATGGGAGCATTCCCTATCGCTGATAGGAGTCCTCTGTCATCTGTGCCACGATGTTTGAGTACTGCTGTGTCAGAGAAAAGACCAGGCAGAGTTCAGACATGTATGACTAAAGGGTGGCTGATAGAGCACATCAGGGATTGAATATAACAAGAAAATTTCAGGGTTTTGTGAAGAAATACTTAGGAAATAATTTAGATTTTCCCAAGGGTAGGGTAGTAGCTGGTATGTTTTGATGGAAGATGCTTTTCTGTTAATTCCTACGTGTGCTGGTTTAAAGGTAAACCAGCAGGGGAAATGAACTCAACTCAAAAGAGAGATTATAAATCAGAATAACAATTTAATAAAGTAATACAATAAGTACGATTATACAGACAAACAATTGGTTTTAACCCACAAAACCCAAATGTATAACCCAGCACCCTGGGGCACGAACAGAGTGGTGTTCGTTGGGCCCCCTGAGTCCAAAGTAAAAGGAGAGGGAAAAAGCTGTTGGTGAGAGTGCTGTTGCAGTCTGGTCAAGAGTGGTGATTGCAGTCTGGTTGAGAGTGGTGGTTGCAGTCCAGTCGAGAGCGGTGATCTGCAGTCTTCCTCTGGATCCCATGAGTGGTTAAAATGTTCCAGGACTCCAAGTTTATATATTCTCCAGTTCAGGCAGGAATGCTCAGTACTTCCCTCAGGGCGGGGTGTGAGGATAGAAGCACCCTCCTATCTTGCCGGCCTCTTAACACCCAATTTATAGCCTGAGGAGTCAGGCTGCTCTGGGCAGAGGGTGCAAATAGTCTGTTGACGACAGTTTCTGGGAAATGGCATGGAAGGCTATAGAATACACAGTTTTGGGTTACACCCGTCCAGTGATGAACTGATCCCAGCTGTTCTAACTAGGACACTATGTTCTCTGTGCAATAACTGTTTGGTGTGTACAACATTGGTAGTAGCTCTGGTTTGTATTTCTAGGGACAATAACTTGTTTGGAGTTCTATGGTACTGCACATCTATTGAGTGGGGCTGAAGATGGACTCATTTGTATCTGGAACACAAAGAGATGGGAATGTCTGAAATCCATTAAGGCACATAAGTGAGTTTCTTAAATCTGCATATTCATGTACATTTTGATGTTTATTTTCCTTGTAAATAATACAATAATACATGTGGCTAATGTTTTGTTTTTGTCAGGGGACAGGTGACATCTCTTTCTATTCATCCTTCTGGGAAATTAGCTTTGTCAGTTGGAACAGATAAAACATTAAGGTGAGTCAAAACTAATGAAGGAATGTGGAGAATCATAATTCAGTAACTCTTAGTAAGGTATTATAAGCAACAGTTCCATGTTGGGACTCAACCTTGAAACACTGGCAAAACATAATTGTCATCAAACGGTTCAAAGATCCATTGGTTTGTCTTATGAAGTTCTAAAGTCTTTTCAGAATACTTCCTGCTGTTCATACCTTCTTTTTGTGAGCTCTGACTCTTTACAAGTCACTTGCAGATGTATAAATATATTTGCATTTTGGAACACAATTTGCTTAACCTTCTGGAAACTGTCAAGGTTTTGTTTAGTGTGAGAAAACTAATTTTTCACTGGGAATGCGTCCATGTTGCTGTAGATATCTTTTTTAAAGATATAAAATTCTATTTTAACACCACAAATTGTTATTGGGCTCCTTTTAGGCTCCATATTGCAAATGGTGGTTTAGAAAATAAATAACACAAATTCAACTGTATACTTCGCAAGCAATATATGAACTCATCATTTTCTCTTGCAATAAGAAGGCAGAAAAATGCACAGAGATGCTTAAAAGCTTCCTTTGGGTGCCTTATGTCAGCAGATCAGACTTCAGTTTCGCTGTGCTGTTTTTAACCAGAATGCATATTATCTCTTGTTGTCTTTCAGAACTTGGAACCTTGTTGAAGGACGATTAGCCTTCATCAAAAACCTGAAGCAAAGTGAGTTTATCAGTCTAAATCCAAATAAGGTGGAATTAGATAGTTTTATTTTTTGTGTAAAGAAAAGTTGATTGAATTAATCAGCAAGTCAGTCAATTGGAAACAACTTTCACAATGTCTTTTTTACACATGCAAGCAAGCATATATAAGTTTATATCCTTAGTAATAACAGTTTACCAAAAGGAAAATGTAGTTTCACTAAAGTAAATCTTTTTTTTTCCCTTGAAATTTGAGGTCAGGACATTTAAATAAATACATTTTGGTTTGTTTTTCTTTACACAAATCTGATAATCAGAAAGAAACATTTAAGAGCATAGTTTGACTTGCTTATTCTGGGTTATTTGATTTTTCACAGTATTTTCTCAGATCTAGGTAGAAAACTGTCTAACAGCTTCTAAAGATTCTTACTTTTAGATTTTCATGCAATACAGAGTGCAAAAAGTCAGTGTCTATGTGTATACAGATGCACACATAATTAAGTGGTCCCCTGATGGAGAGAGGTATGTGACCGTGGTAACAAACAAAGTGGATATCTACAGACTTGACACAGCTTCAGTCACTGGCACCATTACAACAGAGAAGAGAATTTCTTCACTTAGATTTATTACAGTAAGTACAAAAAAGAAAGGTGTTGGGAAATTAACTGGTTTAAAACACATGAAATTAATCACTCTTGCATTTCTTTTTTTCCCCATTCCAAGGATTCTATCCTTGCCATAGCTGGAGATGATGAAATTATAAGGTTCTACAGCTGCGACTCTCAAAAATGCCTGTGTGAATTTAAAGCTCATGAAAACAGGTATTCTCTATTTGTTTACTATTTAGATACTTATGGCAATGCTGAGTCCTCAGTAAAGTTCAATGGCTTGTAATGTTCAACATATTTTACTATTATTTTTGTTTTAGTATAGAGAGTAAATTTATTTATGTGCTAAATTTCAAACTGGAGAGACTTGTTTGCTTTTAGTATGAGCATCAGTACTGTGCTGTCCATGCGTGTTACAAGAACAAGGTATAAACTTAGAATTATTACTGTTCTAAGTTTATGAGTGAGTGAGTGGGTGTGTGTGTATTTAACCAGTCTTTACTGATTCTGACTCTTCAGAATGCTTTAAAACAGCAAACCAGTTTTATTCAATTCAAAGAGGAGTGTAATCACATATTCTCTGTTGTTGTTGAATACCAAATATTTATCCAAATATTGCTTTTAATTCATCAAAACACAAAAGCATTAGCAGTAATGTCATTGGTGTGTCTAATAGCAGATGCTTTAAAGTATTAAACCATTCTGACTTGAATCTTAATGAGCCTAGCAAAGGCAAATGTTCCTAATACAAATGACAGCACCCAAACCAGATCACTGTTGAAGTTCCTGCCTGTTACTTGTGGATTTTCTGTTCAAACTGATTTTTTAAACTCTTGCCTATTCATCTTTAATTTTTGTCAGCTTACTGTTCTGATGTGAGCTGCCATGCTATAAAATAGAAACATATTACTTTTCTTTTCACAGAATAAAAGATATTTATACTTTTGAAAGAGAAGGACAGCATCTTATTGTTACTGCATCCAGTGATGGTTACATTAAAATGTGGAATCTGGATTTTGATAAGGTTGGTCTATTAAACTGCTTGTTACATTTATGAAACATATCAGACAACCAAATTTGCAGACTGTTCTGTTATAAAGATTAATTTTAAATCACTGAGGAAATTTACTTGAAATCTGGATGTCTTGATCTTCTTTCATGTTATGTTCAGTAGATACATATACACATATATTTATGCACTTCTATATTTTTTTATCTTTGTAGGTTTTTTTTAAACAAACTATAGAATCTGATGATATTATGAGATCACATCTCCTCTTTATATGTAAAGTCATGCTTCCCATCAGACTGACCTGGGCAGGACTATGACTATCTAATCAGTTATATATGTCCTAAGGACTGCTGTGAATTTTTGTGATGTTGATGACTGTTGCTACTCTTTTAAAAACACAAACTCTGTGGTTTGGGGCGGGACGGGAGGAAGGTGGTCGTTCATGTCAGAGGAAGAGCTTATCCTTCAGAAAAATTCAAACACATTACTGTACTGGGTACTTGTATTTCCTGTGTTTTCAAGCAGTTCCCAGTAGCACAGTTCAACAAGGAATCATGTTTTATCTTTTAAATTTACCATGTTTATGGTTTGCTCTTAAAATCAGAAATAGATTTTTTAACATTTAATGCCTAATAATAAAGGACCTACTATATTTTACTCTAAGTATCTTGAATAGTTCAAATAATTATTTCTCAACATTTATACACTTCATATGTCAATTTGCCCATTTTTAATTTTATTCCCTCTGGTTATTTTTATACTTCTAAGTGCAATAGTGAAATCCCTCTTTTCCCTTCCTCAAATTTCTGTTCTCCTTGTTTCTATTCCCTGTAATTGACATAGTGATCAGGGAATTCTTTACCTTTCTCTATAACACTGTATATATTTTGATCAAATCTGTGGTGATTTGCTTTCTGTCCAGGCAGAGTTTTGTATAACTGCATGGGCTGCTTTGTCCAGCTATGTGAGGTACAATATCCTAATACAGTAATTTCTGATGTGTTAATGCTGTTAACGTTGTGACACTTTATCCTGATATCTGTAATAGGATATTTGCTCAAGTACTCCCAGAGCTGAGTGATACAATTGCCTAACAATGAAGTGGAAGTTACTTTCTCACTTCAAATACTTCAGTAAATTTAAACAGAAATAATGTGTAAATAATATTTTTTTAATGTTTTCTTCAGATTAAAAATGTGCCATCTTTACTGTGTGAAGTCAATACCAAAGCTAGGCTGACATGTCTTGCAGTATGGCTTGACCGAGCTTCGGAAATGAAAGAAAACTCTGATAAAGCTGCAACATCATCTCAAGGTAACAGAACTGTGTGTATTTTCAGTTGTTAATGTGACAGTGAAATGGAACATACTACGTGGGAGGTTTCTACTATATGCACTGGAAAAAGTTTTGGTATTTTGAAGAACTGGGGAGATGACACTGGCAAGTGATACAGATATACTTACCAATCTGATGGTGTCTCAAGCCTATATGTTTGCTGGACGACATAAACCTCTTTTCACTTTTATTAAAGTTTTCTTTCTCTTTACTTGAATAACATACTGAGGAAGTCACTGTGAAGCTTTTGAGACAGATAAGAAAATAGACAGTTTGATTGGACTGCATGTCTTGTTTTCCTATAAGCAAAATTAGGTCTGAGGCCATTGCAGTTGGGCAAACTTAGGAGGTCTGGCTCCGATTTGTTTGGGTTTTGTGCAGTTGTTTTTGTGTATTGTTATCTATTTACATACTTGATCTTCAGATATTTTAATTTCACAGGCAAAACTAGCATAAATGGCACTTTCCACTGTAAAATAAAAAACTATAAGACTACATAAAGATCAGTGTGAATAATTTCTTGCTTTTTTTCAGCAAAAGAAGATGAAAAATCATCAATAGTCGGGAAAAACAAAGTTTGTTGGACTGATACAAGTGATAAAACAGCAAAAAAAAAGAGAAAAATTATTCCAGAGAAAAAAAAATTGGAAGCTCCATTGCAAAAGAAGAAAAGGAAACAGAATAGCTCGGCATGAAGGCAGCTTCTTTCTCTCCTGTATAAAAGTAAATGCTGGTGTTGCTCTAGTTTTTATAAGAATGTAAACCTCTAACAGGACATATACATTTGAACTGAGTTGTTTAAAAGTAATTAATGTTCTTACCCTAAGAAATTGACTGATCATTCTGAGAAGTATCAAAAGAATTAAGTGAAGGAGGCAAAAATAAATTTATAATATGTAATGTTTATATTTTTCTCTTAAAAATAACATATACTTTTTAACTGGCTCTGAAAAAGGCAGCTAAAATAATAAAAATAGCTGCATCTGTCTCAGATACATTTTTGTCTTCACTTCCATGCATATTAAAAATGTACACTTTTCATTTTGGTGTTGAAAAAGTTACTCTTTATTTGACTCAAAATATGATCTGCCTTTGTCTTGCATTACTTTTCCTACTGTAAGAAGGAACATGTTAAAATTACTTAAAATATGATGATCACATTCCATTCATACATTCAGAGAAAACCATACTTTCTAGTTCTTGACATGGACTTATACATGGAGTTTATAAGCAAAATGTTCGGCTTTTTTACCATGTCCATACTTCATGTATTTAATTTTTTTTTAAGTCTTTGCACTCATGGTTCACTTGATTGAAAGCTTTTGCTTAGAATATGATACATATTTTTAGGTAGAAGAGTTTATATCAATATGGTTTTACCTTTTTCTTACCCCTTCCCATTGTATTTTTTCAAGTCCTTGATCTGAGCCGTATTGTTAAAAAAGAATTATGTAACATTTAAAATTTTTGCCATGCTGATAAAATGTCACCTATCTGTTTTGTTTGCACTTAAACAAAAAGTGAATTCCTGACCTTCTCAGTCAGTGGGAACAGGATTTTATCCTAAGCCTTATTACAAATACACAGTGGGAAAAACAAAGTTGAGCTGGAGTGAACAAGCTCAAATAGCTGTACTAAATGTTCCCGTTCTTTATTTTAAAGTGTAAGGCATGATAATGTTGTTTTCTGCACTACCGGAGTAGTCATTATTTCTTCTGCTTTCAAAGAGTAATTGGAATTATGCTTTATTCTGATTCACTTCAGTAATAATCTGTTCCTCCTTATTTGTGTAGCAAGAGAAGAAGTAGAGAAAATCAGAAAAAAGATTAAGCCAAATCTGGAGATAGGAATGCAGGCTGGTTTAGGGATGTAAAATTGAATACTGCAGTTCAGCTCCATGTATGCTCTGACACTGAAACAAAGTGAGCATCATCAGTGCTGTTATGGAATTGTTCCTGTGGCAATGGCAGTATTCTCTTGGAAGTGGGCATCCATATTTACCTTCTGTAACTGTTTTCCTTATTTAGATAAATGATCGTAGCCCCTTCTTTGGAAATTCCATATAGTTGATTTATGTGAGCTCAGTTAAATTCAGCATTAAAGGTATTTAGTTTGAGCTTACATGGCTTTTAATTTTAATGATACCTGAAATGTTTGTGTTCACAAACATGGGCAAATAATGTAGGACTTTGAAGGGTTTGTAGACTTGACAGAAAAGGAAAAGTACCAAAACAGATTTTTAATTCATAAGGCCTCTATAGTAAATATACAACTTAAAAAGTATAAGCTTAAATAAGAGAACTGTGTAAAGTGCTTTCCCTTGTACAGTGTTATGTCTATTTCACAGTGCTTATCTTATGTCCTTGACAAAATGGCTGCCACTACTAAACCAGTTTTTATTGTTTGAATTTTTAAATACATGAGCTCATGGCCACAGACATCACAATTACAGAAGCAAGCTTGCATAAGCATCAGGAAAAATCCAGTCTGCACATAATTTTAAGAATTAAAAAGCAAAAATTCAACAGAATTTTGGTCCTAAAGTTTAGACTTACAAGTAAATATTAGACATCTGTAAAAATGCAAACTCCCTGTGTAGTAACAAAGAATTATGCATCTCATGAGACTTAGAACAATTTGGGAACTGGAGACAGTGAAGAACAGTCCTAACAGCTTATAAAGTTGTGACAAATAGAAACCCAATCGGGCAATTTCCAATCAGAATTTATTATATGATAAAAGCAAATTCAGCGCTGGGTGATCAGGGAGGGGTTCAACAACTCCCAACACCTGTCACACCCAAAGAAGACAGTTGTTCTACATTTATTTCCAGCTACTACATGAATATTCATTATACATAAGTATAAACATTACACATTGTTAGGCACATGAGTATAAACATGTTAGATACATAAGTATAAACATTACACATTGTTAGGTCATACATTCAACAGATGTTTGCTTGTTATCTATGCAAAGTTATAAATTTTAAGAAAGGTGCTATTATCTAGCTAACTAAACAAAATTCTCTCACTATAAATCCTACACAAGGTAAAAGGGAGGTAACTTGTCTTTTTTCTTTTCATAGGGGCCCAATTAAGTTTTACAATTTGTTTTTCTTTTCTCTCTCCAGGTCATATTGACCTTACACTGTTTTCTCTTAATTAGCTCGAATCATTCTCTCAGTTTATCACAAAGTGAAATACACAAACAGTCCTTAGGGGAGAACTCATTTTTTCTGTACCTTGAGTGAATGCTCTGCCACTAACTAGTACTTGGCAATTTTTTGTCATTGTTGTTTCCCTGTGAACATCTTCCTTTTCAGCACATTTTTCATTTTCAGGGAACTGCTTAGAATGGTAGAGGCAGCAGTGCAGAGAGAGATGGCAGCAGTGAGAAATCTGTCCCTGTCAGAAAGGGTGGGTGTGCATGACACTGGTAGAGTAGATGGAGCCATAGCTGCAAGAAACAACAGTCTAGCAAGCAGCATCTGAGATGAACCCCAGGTGAGTTCAGTAGCTCCAGCAACTGTGGATTTCTTCCAGTTTTCCTGCTTCCTCCTCTTGGGGACCCCCTGTTCTGGATTACAAAGCAGAGCCCAGCAAAGCTTGAACCTCATAGCTATCACACAGCTTGAATTGAAAAGGGAACCCCATCCTGTGTAGCTTAGGGGAACCAACCTGTGTTGGTTGTGGCACTTTCCAGGCAGAGAGGAGGTTCCTATTTAAACCACTTAAGCCAAACAAAGTAATTAAACTGCTCCTCCATTTATGAACATTAGTCTAATTCATAAAGATGGAGAAGTTTGAATTGCAGCTGAAGAAAGCTGCATTTTGCAGAAAGTACAGGCCTCTTATATTTTGTGTCTTCTATTATGAAGAGGAACTGAAGCTCCTCGGCTCAGGGACCTGGCTAGAAGAGTGCTTTTTCTCTCTATATGGTTAAATGTCCATGGGAGGTAAGTGTATGGACAACTGGAATAAATCATGCAGCACCACTTATGTGAAGAAACCCAGTTTCAGCACTTGGAAAAGAGAAAGGGTTTATCTTTGTAGGCAGTTATAAACATCTCTACATTTTTTCCAGATTAAAAAAAACATGCAAAACATTTTCTTTACAAGATGTTTTCCATCTCCCACTGTTGCATAGCTTCTAAAGCAGAAGATTCATCTTCTTGTTGCACTAGCTTGCAATTTAAAGGTTATGGAAATCCTCTACGTCTTCCATAAAAGAGCTGTACTGAAGTTACTGATGAAAGCAAGAAGCAGTATGTAGGCTGCCCGCAGTTGTGGCTCATGCCACACCAAAACCCGACCCCAAATTCTCAGCTGTACCCCATAACCCCATATCTGGAATAGGGCCGGGAGGGACTGGGAGCACAGGACTGCTGCTATGCCCCTCACTGAACAAGAGCACAAAACCTGGTCTGCACTGAAGTCTCTCCTCATTTATAGGCACCGGGGCTTGCTCGGGCATCCTCGATATCCCCCTCCCGTCGTGCCAGGGCAGTTCCTGGGAACTCCGCAGGTAGGTGGGAAAACACCACCGCCTTCTCCTCCGCAACCCCGGGCTGCGGGACGCACCCTACCCTGCCTCTTGGGTAGGTTTTTGGTTGGTTGGTTTTTGCGTCGGTTTTTTTTTTTTTTTTTTCCCCCTTCTCCCAGAACAGCCGGAAAAGGGAAGTTTTGGGCGGTGCGTGGCTCCTTCACCTCCCCTTCCGCCGCCTGCTCCGCCCCCAGTTGCTGCGGAGCGGGGCTATCGGGCAGGTGAGACCCCGCAGCATCCCTGTCACCCCCAGGGCTGCCTTCCCAACAAGTCGGGTTTCCTCTCCTGGGTTCAGGGCTTAGCCTTTGCTCGTAGCAAAGCCTCCCACGGCAAAATGCTTCTTCCCCCCCCCCCCCCCCCCCCCCGGCCCCCCACCTAAAAAAAAAGGTTAAGAGATGCTGATCCTCATCCCGATTTGCCGTTACAGTTTTCGGCATGGCAGTGGACTGGTTCGGCTTTGGCTACGCCGCCCTGGTGACATCAGGAGGGCTTATTGGCTATGTAAAAGCAGGTACGGAGCTCAAAGATGCTTCTATCTCCCATTCTGTCTTCGTCCTCCCTCCCCCCAATTACTTGGTGTGAGCTGGGCGGCTTTTTACGAAAGGCTTCTAGCTCGAAGTTGGCGCAGATGTAAAATTTATCAGTTTGTGCCATGTGCTGATAACTTGCTGCTGTTGGGGAGTGGTGGATTTGGGGCTGAGCTGGTGCTTTGGGCAGATAAGCCCACAATCGGCTTTCTGGTGGATGCTGATATGCTACTTCTCCATTGTGCTCTTTGAGTGAACTGACATAAGTTTCCTTCAGAAAGGCTTTTCCCCTCCTGTTTAAAATACAAGCATTCTATAAGTGTTCTGCATCTTCAAATGACATAAATCACCATTTTTTCCCCCTTAGAGATTTATTCCCATCTTAATCTTTGACAATAGCGGTGTACTGCAAGCTGCAGAGAGTTTTCTGAAGGATCCTTTCTCCAAGTAGAGCTGAACAGTGCAAATCAGTCCTTAAACTTGTTCCTTTTCTGGGCTCTTCATCATAAGCTTACCCTCTGACCTACTGTTTTCATTTCCTGACCTCTTCCTGAGTTACCCTCCTCCAGGCAGAACTGAAGCTTAATTCCTGCAACACTGTCTCTTTCAGCTTTGAAAATCCCTAAGCTGTCCTAGCTTTTATGATAGGAAGGGGCATTTCTGAAGTCAGTAAGAATCTTACCAGTAACTAATTGCATCTGTATTTCTCTGAGGGCATTATGAAATGGTAGGAGTCTTTCATGTCCTCTGGTCCCAGATGGGAGGACAGGGTCGTGCTGAGGCAAGGGAATCCAGGTCACAGGATTTTTGAAGGGGGAATAGAAACTCATATGGTGACTTCTGGAGAGAAAAAAACCATATTGTATCATTACTAATAACTTGGAGAAACCAAAAGAAAATGGAACTTTCATCTGTAGATCTAATTTGATGATCTGATCTGTTCTTCTACAACCAGGTCTATTTACCCAC